ACCTACATGTAATTTGTCTTTCAAAGATCTCAGCGATTACAGTCCCAGAAATGTATTTTACAGGGCTATTGCCTACAATAGAAAGTCCCTAGTACATCACCCTTAAAGATTTCTATTCCATGCTCACACTACTGCATTCGTAAACTACTATTGGGTAGTGTACGCCATTATGAAAGCTAATATGCATTACTATTTATGCATTGGGGCTTTTGGTAGGCCTGTAGATTCGGAGGGGAGTTTACTTTCATGAAAAATGAACAGACAAGCTTATAATGAGGAAAGAGAATCCCTCTTGCCTCTTGGAAGCCAAAGGGCATCAGAGATCTTGACTACACCTATGTCAGCTCCACCTAGAAGAGAACAATTAGCTGTAGCAACCCCTCCTCATTTTACTTAAGAACTTGGCAGTCAACATCTCCCTTCCCCCATCCCAGCTTCAAAAAGAAGTAAGCAAAGCACCTTCACATCAAATTGTGCCTGTATCCACTTACCACCTCCCAAGACATACAGAATCAAAAATCATCAGATCTATGTAACCTGTTATCTGACTATCACTTTTCAAACTCATATGTCTGTTCTGTCCTAGAATCTACGGACATAAATTTAAAAAAAAAAAAAAAATGACATTTGTCCTGCCCTTGAGTTTACCTTTGCAGAAAAATGTTAACCAATGAGAAATATCTGCAAATAGGATTCAGATTGAAACCACATATTGAATGAAGTTTCAGATTAGATGTATGGTCTGCTGTGTCTACTTGCCTCCCCAACTCTGCTCTGCCAACCAAACTCCTTAGTAAGACGGAATCACACTGCTAAAATAAATACAGACTCAAAGACTTATCTGTTATTCACTTTGATCTGTTGGGCTGCTATAAAACAGGTACAGCCACGTGATTCCAAGAGTACAAAAACAAAGAATTCAGATACAATATTGTCAAATGTCAGTGATCTACAATGTACTGAATTTTTGAAAATACCTACAAGGACCCTTTGACAAAAATCCTCATTAAGAAAGGAACATTTTGGGGCTTCCCTGGTGGTGCAGTGGTTGAGAGTCTGCCTGCCGATGCAGGGGACACGGGTTCGTGCCCCGGTCCGGGAGGATCCCACATGCCGCGGAGCGGCTGGGCCCGTAAGACATGGCCGCTGAGCCTGCGCATCCACAGCGGGAGGCCACAACGGTGAGAGGCCCGCGTACCGCAAAAAAAAAAAAAAAGGAACATTTTATGCATACAAATTTTTTTTAATTAATTAATTTATTTGTTTTTATTTTGGGCTGTGTTGGGTCTTTGTCACTGCACGTGGGCTTTCTCTAGTTGCAGCAAGAGGGGGGCCACTCCGTGCTGCTGTGTGTGGGCTTCTCACTGCTGTGGCCTCTCCCATCGTGGAGCACAGGCTCCAGGCACGCGGACCCCAGCAGTTGCAGCACACGGGCTCAGTAGCTGTGGCTCGCGGGCTCTCTACAGCACAGGCTCAGTAGTTGTGGCACACGGGGCCCAGCTGCTCCGTGGCATGTGGTATCCCCCCGGACCAGGGCCCAAACCCACGTCCCCCTCATTGGCAGGCGGACTCCCAACCACTGCACCACCAGGGAGGCCTGCGTACAATTTTTTTTTAATTTAGGCAAGCAACTAGAAATTAAAAAGAGAAAAAAACATCAGAGAGAAAATCTCCAGATCTTAAATGTCTATCTGATGGACACTTTGATTTCCACATTCTCTGCACTCCCTTGAGCCCTCACCAACTTCAACTAATCCTCTAGAAACCTGTCCTTTCCTTTCCATTGCCACCATTGGCAATGGTCTGACCATTGCCTTAGGTCTGGCCCTCATTGGTTTTTACTTGGAATATCCCAGTGACTTCTTAATTGGGTTCTCTGCACACAGTTTTATGCAAAGGATGCTCACGTAAATAATCTCAGTTCCATACTTTATGACATATATATGTACACAGAACTTTTTGAGAACACATTCTTAGGCGAGGCAATAATTCTGTGTTTTGATCTGAGAAACACTAGGATTTCCTGTTCTTAAATAATTGTGGTATGAAAGTACAAACACAACTATTCTTCCTCTAACATTTATAGGGTCTATTTCATTAAGACTTGGTCTTAACCCTTTAATATATTAATCTTCTTACTAGTTCTACATTTATATACGAGAAAACTGAAGCACAGAGACATTAAGCAACTTGCCTATGAACACACAGCCAGTAACTGTAAGGGCCAGAACTCAAACTCAAAATTCCAGCACCAGATACCACGCTGTTGACCATCATGACTCCTACCCCTACTGATTTGCCGCATGCATACCAAGTGCTTGGGCCACTGTCCAGCACATAACAGAGGATCTGAAAAATCCTCTGAAACACTACTAAAAGAATTGACTGGATGGGGAAATATGCTCAGATTCTAAAGATAAAACCACCTAAACAGCTCCAAATAATCGGCAGAAGACAGAGCATGGTGGTGACAGAGAACAGTCTCTGGTCAAGATGTCTTTCTCCATTTCAGGTTCCTACTTTCAACAAGAAGGCATTTGTCACCATCATCAAAAAATCTACAAACAATAAATGCTGGAGAGGGTGTGGAGAAAAGGGAGCCCTCTTGCACTGTTGGTGGGAATGTAAATTGATACAGCCACTATGGAGAACAGTATGGAGGTTCCTTAAAAAACTAAAAACAGAACTACCAGGTGACCCAGCAATCCCACTACTGGGCATATACCCTGAGAAAACCATAATTCAAAAAGAGTCATGTACCACAATGTTCATTGCAGCTCTATTTACAATAGCTGGACATGGAAGCAACCTAAGTGTCCATGAACAGATGAATGGATAAAGAAGATGTGGCACATATATACAATGGAATATTACTCAGCCATAAAAAGAAATGAAATTGAGTTATTTGTAGTGAGGTGCATGGACCTAGAGTCTGTCATACAGAATGAAGTAAGTCAGAAAGAGAAAAACAAATACCGTATGCTAACACATATATATGGAATCTAAAAAAAAAAAACAAAAAAACAAAATGGTTCTGAAGAACCTAGGGGCAGGACAGGAATAAAGACGCAGACCTACTAGAGAATGGACTTGAGGACACGGGGAGGGGGAAGGGTAAGCTGGGACGAAGTGAAAGAGTGGCATGGACTTACCTATACCACCAAATGTAAAATAGATAGCTAGTGGGAAGCAGCCGCATAGCACAGGGAGATCAACTGGGAGCTTTGTGACCACCTAGAGGGGTGGGATAGGGTGGGTGGGAGGGAGACACAAGAGGGAGGCGATATGGGGATATATGTATATGTATAGCTGATTCACTTTGTTATAAAGCAGAAACTAACACACCACTGTAAAGCAATTATACTGCAATAAAGATGTTAAAAAAAAAAGAAGGCATTTGTCAAATGCAAACCTGACCATGTCATTCCCCCATCTCACTGCTGGGAACTTGGAAATGGTAGTAGGAAACCCCACTGCAGTGTTTTGCAAACTTTTACAGGAAACATCTCTCCCTAATGGCTTGCTGATGAAAGCAACCACACTCTTAAGGCCCATGGCCCAAAGAACAGCCACAACTCTTGAGTTCTGACTGTGTGACTCACCCTTAATACTCTGGCAAGTTTGAGATTTATTCTACAAATGTATCTCTGTTTGTTACAATATAAAAACAATGTTTATAACTACTTATAACTGCAACTCTGGGAGGAAAAAGAAAAACAAAAAACTTCATTCCTACCATGATTTCTAGCACCACCTACCTGTATGCAAATTCTTTCTGGGTACCCGGTACTGCAGCTTCATATACACGACAGGGCTGTGGACCTAATCCGAGCTACTTGGCATGATACCTAAATCCCTTCCCAAACCAACCCCTGACTCACCAGCCCCCTTTCCCACCTCTCCAGCCAACACAATTAGTTGCAACCATATCAACAGTCAAATTTCAACCTGTGTTCCACCTCGTGAACTTTAATAATTAGGACCTTGTGGACTTTGAGAAGACATATCCACCCTTCCAAACCCTACTTAGGTGTAATCTTATTGAAGTCGTTCTTCCTCCGAGTGTGTGGTTACTTAGTAACACTCCCCTAGTTTATCCCTCTTCTTGCACTTGTTTCCCCGTGGCTGCTTCCCATACTAGACTGTGCTGTCCCTGGGGGCTGGCTCTTGCTCAACTAAGCAGAGCCCTGCCATACAGGTAAATTTCTGGTCTATAGGAAGCGGGGCTCACAATAGGTAACCTAATCCTTCAGGACAAGGCAAAAGAGCTGACTACGAAATTGAAATTAAACACAAGTTAAAAGGTCTGAGCATATCTCCAATCGCATTGTCTTTCCCAAAAGAACTCCAGGTTCCGGTGCAGGGGACGCCAAGCCTTGGCACCCAAGAGAGAGGGGGGTGGGCGAAGGCGTCACTTACCAACTGGTGGAAGGCGAATGTCTGTTTTCCAGCGTTTTGGTCCAGGGCTTGTACCAGCTGATCTGCTCCGCGGCTTTGCCCCAGAACCTCTCGGGGTCGGCCACCGAGGCCGCGAAGTGGGTCTTGTACTCGCAGCCGCCCGAGGACAGCGCCCGGCAGCCCCGGCCCCCGAGAGCGCCCCGTTGGCCGGGGGCCACGTACGCCCTGCGGGCCGGGCCGGCTCCCCGGGCGGGAGAGGACGCGGGCAGGGACCCCCCGAGTCCCCCGGCGCCGGTGACTTTGCGACACTGCAGCCAAGATGGCTTCATCGCTGCCGGCGGCGCCCCCCTGCAGGCTGCGCTGCCCGCGGTCCCGAGCCCACTCCTCGGGCGACCCCTGGGGCGCTCGCGACTTCCTGGGGCCCGAGGGGAGCAGGCGGGAGGCGGGGGCAAATTCCGAGGTGTGCCCAGAGCCCGGGAGTTTGGAAGTCACACTGGAGTCGCCGGGAAAAACCGACCTGGAGCGGCGGGGGAAGCCACAGGCTGCAGCAGGGGCGGGGAGGGGGGCGCACAGCGTCCCCGCGCCGGGCGAGAGCGGCGCCGCGCGAAACCCGACGCCTCTGCGCGTCTCCAGCGCCGCGACTTCGCCTGGAAAACCGCCCTCAGGCTGCAGAGCGGCCTCCCTTCTCCGACGCACAGGTACCCCTAAGGTGAGGCCGACGGACCCAATTCATTGTTTTCCAGTAAACAAGCAGTGCGCAGCTTCTCGGGGTTGGTCTCTGGAGAGCCAGCCGGTGGAGCGGCCGTGCCTCGGCCCGCAGCGGGAATCCGCCAAGCTGGGCTCTGCGGCCCAGCCCCTGAAGCGTCGAGTTTTGTTTCTTTCTCTTTAAAACAAAGCTCCAACCTCGGCTATTTAGAAAACAAGTGGCTCCTGGGTAAGGGCTGCTCCAGGATTTCCCGACAGCTGTGAGAGGAGGAGAAGTGGAGGGAGGTTGCCCAACCGAGTTGGGAAGTGCTTTGGGGGTGACTGGCGCTGGGGAAGGTTACGCCGTTGGAATGGGGATTCACTTGCCAACTGGACTCCCCGCAGGATCTAGGCAGAAAGCAGAGTGACTTGTTGCTTTTCCTCCCTAACCATTTGCCTCTTTGGAGTTTCTTTGCCCTTTTTTTTGGATGAGACCCCACGCTCCCCCCCCCAAAAAAATTTAAGCACAAAGGAAAAGCAAAGTCAAGATGAATCAAAAGAGAAAAAGAGGAAGCTGAGGAAAATTAAAAGAGAAAGGCGGTATAGGTTACCGTCTGGGTTTAACATTCTTCAGATTCCTTCTCTGTTTTTTCTACCTGTTAGTGAATTTCAGATGCGGTCGCGTTCGCCTTTGTTACGCCAAACATATGCTGTTTGGTGTGACGGTGTTTGCAGTTTTAAATGTAAAGATGTGTATTCCCAAATCTGAAGTGGGAAATAATGAATGCCCCGAGCCTAGGAAGATTGTAAACAGATTTTTTTTTTCTGCAGGAAAAGAATAATGTGAAGATAAAGGTTAAACAGAACAGAGATAAATCTAATGCAAAACAAAGAACATTTCTTTAAATAATCACCTCAGCTATTCCCTTTCAACTAAGAAGGCGCTAGACTTTTCCCTAACACCTGCAGCCTACTCTCTACCAAAGGCCTCACAGCAAATGATTTCCAATAGCAAAAGGCACTTGTCACTATTTGAATGCAGAGAGAGTTAGGAAGCCCGATAACCTCCTGTCCTCCTCCTTTCCTCTGCCCAGCCGTCTAATGCTGCTGTCTGGTCTACAAGATCCTCTGACCCCAAATCATCCCCTATTGTATTACAGTGATGTCCATCCATCTTAGTCGTTTGCTCAACAGATATGTGAGCCCCTGCATTGCGTAAGTTGTGACTTGTTGCGGGCAGGGGGAGGGATATGAAGGAAGCAGGCAGGTCTCTACTGGCTCTTACTGTGTATCCACATTGTGCTGGCACTTTCAAATATGTTAGCTCCTGTATTTCCCAAGTACTAAGAAACGGGAAGTATAATCCCAGTGTTTACCACCTTGAGGCTGTGTGATGGATATCCTGGCACACCAGTAATTCAAGGTGCACAGGCTCCTCAGGTTAGTCCTGCCACCCACCCCAGCATACTATACAAAGACCATTTTCTCTCTGTGCCCCGACTTGAAAAAGGTGGAGAATCTGACTCCAAAGTCCATAATTTTCATACCAGGATGATTATTAAAAAGAAGAAAGATTTTAGACTTCCAATAAAATATGACAAGGTGAATACCCACATCCATTCCTCTTCTTCTAGAAACCTCACTGAAAAAGAAAGTACGGTGGTGGTGGCGGTGGTGGTGATGGTAAACACCCAGAAGAACAAAGAGAACAGGAGAGGACAAGAAAACAAGTGAGAGAATGGAAAGAAAATTAATTCATGGTATGTGACTGGGGTGGGGGCAGGGGGAGGTGAATGCAGAAAATGGATTTCCTCATCACACACCTGAAATGCCTCAGGATTTGGAGGCCCTGGGTTCCCCTGGAGGTTCAGAATGAAGGTTAAGGGCTTAAAAACCAAAGGCCTAATTAAAAGATTGTGTGAGATGAAATTAAACCCCCACACACACACTGCTGGGTGGAACCATTTTCTCTGGACCCTGCAGTACATTGTCATGTTTTAAGTAATTTTACGAAACAGACTGTGAATGTAAGTTCCATTTCAAGCCAAGGGAAGAGCATACAGTACAGCACAGGAGGAGTGTAGTGGACAGGCAGAACAGGAGTGGGCAGTAAGACTAGAAACTTGAGCCAGATGCACAGCTGCAAAATAGCGTCAAATGCAGGCCAGGACCTGAGTTTGAGACCATTCACCTTTGACACTAAAAACCTGTTGACTATGGCTAAGCATGTGAAAAGCTTAAAATCATTAGCCATTGAGACCCGGTTTGAATCCTAGTACTGCCTGTAATTAGGTGGGAAAACTAGGAAAATGAGCTAATTTCCCTACACTGTAATTTCAGTATCTGTGTTTTGAGGCTGATGATCCTTACCTCACAGGATTGTTGCAAGATTTAAATATGTGTAAATTGCTTAGCACCAAGGCAGTAGCAAACGAAGGTAATTTAAAGCCTGTGAACAAACAGCCACTCCAAACAATCAACCCCCAAACCTCCAGCTTCATTAACACCCTTAAAATTTTACCGTTAGAATTTTTTGCAAGAAATTATTTTGATTGAAACATGCATGTACATTCCATACTGCTTCAAAAAATAAAATAAGATTTTTGACTAATTTGGAGACAAGGTAGTTGCAATCTTTTCAGTGTTCAAGCCCTCTAAAATTCCAGCTTTTTATAAGTACAATATTTATTTCATTGTATGGCAATAAATGGTTTATTTAATATGCTATTCAAGATGACATTTTAAAGAAATCTTAAACAAAGATTAATTGATCAGATTATCTGAGAGAAACTTTCTAGTAAATGGGAAAAGCATAATAATGAAGGAAAGAGTGAAGAGAATCAAAAAGTGTGAAACACTGCTCAAGAAGGAATGAGCGGAAGGGAGGAAATTGGAATTGAAATACTTAATGCCTAAGAAAAAGTTGCTGAAAATTAGAAGAGCAGAGTGGAATTAGAATTAAAAGAGAAAAAAGATACAGGAATCCTACAACTTAATTTTTCTTAGGATTACAATTTCTGCCTAGGATCAGTCATTCTTAGTACAGACTAACTTTTTTTGCAGAGAGAGTAAAAGGGATTAAAGAGTACACAATTGAAAAGTAAGTGTAGACTACCCTGGTCATGTATTCTGCTGACCACACAATTCAACTTTTTGCATAAATTTGTTAAGAGTTAAATGTCTAACTTTGGGTAAGTATTAGAACTACTAAGATTTTCACTTATGACAAAAGCAAAAATGTTATATATTGAATTTCCTGGATATTATGAAAACTTGGCAAGTACATATGGAATCATTTGCAAAAATTACTTTATCTCTGCAGCAGGTACATGCTGAGCTGAAACTTGAGCCTCCAGAAACACTGCAGATTTATTCTGATTTAGCAGAGAATTTCTGGAAAATATGCTGACTTTCATGGCTTAGTAAATATTTTTAAAACTTCTAAAGTGAAATGACTCATAGTAATGTAATTATAGACTCCTATTTTGAAACTTTCTTCTTTTTGCCCACATAGTAATTGCAATAAAGGCAAGGAGAAAAAGGCGGATGAAAGAATTGTTTTAAAACAAATAACATTCCAGTGGATGGGAAGAACTCTACAACTTCAGTTCATTCTAGCAACCAAATATAAGGTATGGGATTCATCCACCAGCCTTATTTTTATTTCTTAAAAAGATCCTAAAATTTAGTGTTAATTAGTAAAAGGTAATAAAAATGTAGTTGTTTTTATCTGAGAAAAACTGGAAAAGGAACGACCTAGGCAAATATTTCCAATCATATTTTTCAAGTTCTTAGGGTTTTTTTTTTCATTATTTTGTTTGTTTTTGTTTTTATCTGTATAGCAATTTCCAGTTGAGGGGGGGAAATCTCATCAATGCAGTTGTGATGGAAAATCCAGTAAAAATGGGTAATATTTTAATCAGATCACCGAAATCCTTGAGAGGTCATTTAAATTCTTCTCCACAGATTATTCCTAAGAAAGTATTCTGTTTCTGTTTATATTCTTAAACCAAAGCCACTGCTTGTTACTCAATTTTTTGTAATAATACTTTAAATATGTAAGAAATGATCTCATTTTCAGGGAACAAATGATGAAAAGGAAAAATATCCTTTATAATAAAATTGTTCATAAAGTGTAGTTGATTACCTAACATTACTTTGGGTTACCTGTGTGTGTGTGTGTGTGTGTGTGTGTGTGTGTGTGTGTTAAGAAGATATAAAATTAAACTAGAAAATGAAAAACAAGTCCAGTTAACCAAAACAAGAGCTGCTCTTATGTAACAAGGAAGTGGGTAATCATTTGGGGGTTTTAAAGACAACACAAGTCTTTCAAATGAAGCTATTTTAAAATTGAAGAAAATATGGAGGCAAAGAAATTGCTTACTTTAAGTAGATCGTGAAAAAAGATATCTCATTTACATGCATAAGAAAATTATAAAGTATTTGGACACTTTTTCCAACCATCATTCTGAATGATGAGACTTCAGATGACTCTTGTGATACTTTTCTGTTTTACCTGTTAATACAAATCCCTACCTGTTTTTAGAATTGAACACCTGAATATTTAGAGCTCTAGAGTGTGTTCAGAATTCCCAGTGGAGATATTTTGTGTATAAAAAGGATTTCAATGGACTTCTCTTTGTTATTTGCTTACACTTGCTTTTTTTTTTGCTTAATCCAGATATTCTTATAACTTGGTATGAATATAAAGTTTGCCTCTTTATATCTATATACTTATAACTGTATGTGGATATAGAGTTTCTCTATAACACTATATTGCTTCTTCCCACTGAAACTTTTATTAGCCTAGTATAAACCAACTTATCAGTTTTGAAAGAGTAAGAAAACTGTTATTGGTATTTTTATTTTTTATCATTTTTTTAGTAACATTGTTTCATACCTACGAACTTCAAGTAATGTTGCTGGGAATCTCCTCCTTTCATCTCTGCTGTGACAACCCCAGGAGACAGTACAAAGATTTAGGTTTTTTGATAGACGATTGCACCTGCAAAACTAACTAAAAATGTATGTGTGTGGGAAATGACTAATTTCTGCTTTCTTCTCCTTTGACATTTCTAAAGTCCATTCCTTCGTCACTCCTTCAGCAAGCTAATCTAGTACCCTGCTAGCCCAACTCCCTTTCTGCAGGTTCAACTATCTCCTATCACTCAATTAATTCATAGGTGTTTACTGAGTGCCTCTCCCTCCCCATGCTCAGCAGGATTCTCGGAACACAAAGAATTGTTTATAAATGACTAAGAGGTACTAATAAATCCATCTCTGTTCCTAAGTAGCTCACAGTCTAGTCAGGAAGAAAACACGTCAGCAAGTGCCATATGGTTTGTTAGGCCCTTTAGAGGCAGATGAAAAAGCAATAGTGGAGGACCCAAAAATGGAATGGAAGACCCTAGGATTAAAGTAATCATTCTAAAACATAAATCAATTGTATCACCATCTTGCCTAAAATCTGTCAGTGGCTTCCCACCTGCCTATGGTGAGAAGTCCAAAGCCCAAAGTCTTTAGCATAGACCTGCCGGTTTCACTTGGGATCTATTCTGCTCCCCTAGAGGGCATTTGGAAATGAGTAGTGTACTATTATCTATTGCTGTCTAATAAATTATTCCCTAACTGAGCAGCTTAAAACAACAGATATTTATTATCTCATATGAACTTCTCTGGATCTGGAATCAGGATGAATTAGTTAGCTGAGTGGTTCTGGCTCTAATCAAGTGGTAGCCAGGTGGTCTGTTGGTCAGAACTATGATCATGCCAATGGGCAGGGGTATCGAGTTCATGCTCACTTACATGGCTGTTGGCAGGAAGCTTCAGTTCAAGGGGCTATTCAGAGGACATGGCAGCTGGCTTTCCCCTGAGCAAGATGAGTGATTGAGTGATGGATTGATTAAGTGATGTGATGTGTGTGTGTGTGTGTGTGTGTGTGTGTGTGTGTGTGTGAGAGAGAGAGAGAGACCAAGACAGACTCCACAATCTTTTATGACCCAATCTCATCTCAGAAGGGCAATTTATCACTTCTCCTTTATGCTATTGGTCACACAGACAAACTTCGGTACAATGTGGGAGGAGACTATACAAGGGTGTGAATAGGAAGAGTCTGGATGATTGGGGACCATCTTGGAGGCTGGCTGCCAAAAGTAAGAATACTTTTGGTTTGTCGTAGTGACTGGAGTTTACTTATTAACATGGGCAAAGACCAAGGATACTAAAATCTTGTACAGGAAAGAATTATAGCCCCTTACCAAACTGCCAAGAGTGTTGCCAAATAGTTCTTCTACACTTTGTATATACTGCCTTTTCCTGCATGCACACACCTGGCTCTATTCATACCTGGCTTCTCACAGTTCCCTATAAAATCCTAGTCCTTCACCTTCCACAAATCTTCCTTCTGACTGCAGTGCCTTCTTCACCTTGGCAACGCTTCCAACTCTCTCTTTAGGATTTAGTACAAATCTCTTCATCTCCTGGATGCATTCCCTGATCACATTAAGCAGATGAGCCCTTGCTTTTCTCTGCCCTATTCATATATTTGTTATAGCATACACTACTGTAATTACCTTTACCAACCCTTCTCCCCTGGAAGACTGTGAGCCCCTGCAGAAATATGTACTATAATGTTAGTTTAACTTCAGTGTCCCCATACCTTACGCAGTTCCCACACACAGCAAACACTTCTTAATACAAGTTAGTTGAATGAATGACCAAATTAGTGGCATGTTGTCTGTGTTTGTGTACCTGTGTGTATTGGGATTGTGCCACTTAAGAGAGGACTGTAGAGTGTAAAAGCCTGAGAACAACTGATCTGCTCTGTTTCAATCCAAACTCTGCTTGGTTCCATTTGTTTCCCGTTAAAGTACAAATTTGCCTTCACATCCCATAATCTATTTTTGAAATAAACGTTTTATATCTTTGCCAAAAGGATAACCGAAAGTTATATTTTCATAGATCATGTCTATAAATTATAGGGGGCACTACCTGATTAATACACTTATTTTTCAGAAAATGTTTAAGAGTTTAAGATCCTCTCTAAATCAAGAAAGAATAATCCTGCTTCGGTGCACTTAATGATGTTTAACTGTTGAACTCAAAGAGTTAATATAAATCCTAAATGTGCTATGTTACAGCCTATAGACTTTATTAAAATGAATCTGCAGTAATAGGACAAAAGGTTACTATCCTAAGAGAGTTATTACAAGCATTAAATAAGTCAAGTTATGGGCAAGAGCAATCTAAAGCTATGAAGACTGAAGCTTACTATTCTAAAAGAGCTAATGCAATATCCAAATGCATTTACCTAAGGAGTAGTTTATTAACTGAAGCACCTATGCTGTTTAGGAATAATTTGGGAGCCTCTTAGGGCTTGGAGTTTTGCTCCTAGAGGTGGATTCCAGAATTGTCCAGTTTCATGAATTTCTATTTATGAAAGATTCGGCCTCCCAGTCATGATTGTGCCCTGACAGACTTCTGCCAAACCTTCCAGATGTTGAGTGACTTCCTGGACCTTCACCTGCTCCAAAACTCCTCTGTTATTCTGCTTGGAGACATGACTAGTTCGATGTATGCTCATTTGTTCAGGTAGCCCTTTCAGCAAAGAACTATTGAATATCAACTATATGTCAGGCATACATGGATACAGAGGCCAAGAAGACCGACGCTTTTTGTTAGATCGCATGATGTATATGTTCTAGTAGTCAAATATAGAAAATAATAACTTAGCACACTATAACACAACATATAACTATATTTGAGATAAGGATGTGGGCTATGATAAAAATAAAACAAAGTAAAGGGCAAGTGAGCAAATTCCCTTAGGAAGTGATATTAAACTAAGACCTGATCTATAGGAAGGAACTACCAATGGGAGTATCTGGGGGAAGAGAACTTTAGAGAGAGGGACAGACAGAACACTTTCAAGGTCTCTGTGGATGGAACAAGCTTGATAGGTATGGGAGTTAAAAAGTTAACAGGTGATGTTGGAGCATGTTTAAAGTTTGAGAGTTGCTGTATTAGAGACAGGAAGAGCTAGATCCTGAAGGATCTTATAGACTACAGAAAGGAATTTAGATTTTACTCTAAATGCAGTTGAGAGCTATTGGATGGATTTCAAAAACAGAAGTGTATCTGATTTATGCTTATAAAGTTTGGGGGTTTTGAGCCTCCTATTCTGGTCCTTACCATAACCATTAGCTCCTGAATCTGACATCTGTAACAAAAGGCCTTCAAAGAGGTGGCTTTGGGTTTGCTAATGACACACTGTCTCTTTTTTCTACAATGTTTATATTTTATGGAACTTTAATACTGAATCCCACCTTGACTCAAGTTCAGGAAGCCCTTTCTCCTAGATTCTGTATTCTAGTTTTACCTGTCGTGTAGACAGGCACTTAATTCTTCAATCATTCTTAGCCTTTGCTAATTCTCTTGTCAGGTCTGTATTAGATAGCTATAAGGAAATTTCACCCTCTCCCCTTGCAAACAACCAACCAACCAACCAACAAACAGAACAAAACCTAAACAACCAACCAAACAAAACCCCCAAACGTCAACATCTTAAACCCCATTCTGGACTTCATAGGACTCAAGAAAAGTTGAGTGCAGTAGCGACCCCCCAAAAATACAA